AAAAGTTGCCACTGTGGCTGATGGTTCATAGGAGTGTCATTAAAACAGGAACAGTTTTGAACAATTGGTGATTGAGTTCAGAGGTCTTAGTTTATTATACAGTCGGTTAGGTTCCGTAGACTGAAGGTGTCAACACCTATACAAATAGTGTCTTTCCTAGCATAATGGATGAACATTTTCTGTTAAAGGACTATCTGTTGACATTAAGACCCCTTTTGTTACTGTTTATGATTTATGGAGCTAAGAATGTTTAGCTCTGAGGTATGAATTTATAGCATCTTCTTGTAATTGCATACATTGTTGCTGAATGAAATTAAAAGATCTTCGAAGATTGGATTTCAGAATTGTGGACTATCCTTCAGTAAATCATAAAAAATGAGGTTTTAATTTTTATGCAACAGATTTATTTAATTTAGAACTAATACATAGGACAAAATGGGTAATTTATATTAATTGTATCCTTTCTCTGCAAATATATGTATATATACAAAGTTTATACCCTCATGCAATGTCACAACCCATAGTGGTTACAAGGCAAAGAGAGAAAAAAGAGATAGTAGTTTACAAGATTTTTTGTGGTCCACTCTGGTTTTATAGTCTAGTACATGGGGACTGTATTGTAAGATTTAAAGATTTTAACATACTTAACTAGCCTCATTATGTCATTAGATTCTTTTAATGTCATTTAAAATGTTCTTGGTTTACTTTTTCAATACTAACTAACCAAAATGCATCTTCTTATGGAATGAATTAGCCGATGAATCAGCATTTACTGAGACTAACTGATTTCATAAGACAAAATTATGAATACTTATCTAAAAACATTATTTCATGAAACAGACACTCAGCGGTCAAAGTGGAACCAAATGAAGGATGAGTGAGAGAGAAGATTTAGATAAAAAAAATTAACTCCATCAAACAATATTTATTTTCTATTTTTATTTAAAATATACACATGAAACTTAGCAAATTAAAAAAGTTATAACAAATCATAATTATATAATACAGTATATACAAATATCAGTCTTTATACATAGTTACTTACAAACAAATTGCAGCAAAAACATTATGTATGGTTTATTATGTGCATACCATAAACAGTATTTGAATTACCAACAGTTATTGTATGTAATAATAATACATAGAAAGTTCAAGAATATTATTACATACCATACATTGCTAGTTCAAGTTTTTTAATTTAACCATTAAATTAGTTATGATAACTGTTTTAGTTCATTTAAAACAAAAATTCAAAGGAATGTATATTTTGAAATAATGTATGTATATCTTCACCATATTTAATTCATTTTAATTTTGAATTACATTTATGCATCTATGTGTATAAAGAGAACAATTTTATAAAGCTGATTTATATAGTTGAATAATGTTTCCCTAACACTTTAAACTTGAGCTCTATATTTTCAAGATGGGCTCAAATGTATATAACTGTACATATAGGAAAATCAATATCAGTAACATAGATTAATGAGTAAAAGAAAGACATTGCTAATTTGGATTTATTTCATAGTGTAAATTATACATAAAATGGAACCCAGTAAACAATAGTAATTAACTAATGAGTTATGTTATATTAATAAATTTCAATCATTATAGTTATACACGGACTTATGCAATTTAAGCAGCAAAAACTTAATTCATTATGTAATGTTTTTGTACCTCTAGCGATAATCACCCAATACAATAATTGTATGTTTCATTTGTATGTAAATATTCTTTTATTTATTAAAATATTAGTATAATTTTAGTTGCATAAGAGTTAATAATTTTGATTTCTTTAAAAATGTAATTATCCTTAGTACATCTTTTTAGCATAGCATAAAAAATACTATGCAAAATAAAATCCAAATGTTTGAAAAAAAATTTTCATAAATGGTTTATATCATATCTACTAGGATGTTTATAGGTGTGTAATTATAATTAATATGTATGCACATAATTCAGCAACAATATAAGTTTTAAATCTTTAAGATCTAAGATTACAAACTACTCAGCTATTTAATATATATATATACACAAAGGAAATATAGTATATGTGTAAAAGGTAACATACAATAATATAACAAGATATAAATACTAACAACGATTTTCAATCTTTTAAATCGAATCAATTTATTAGTTATCCATCCGATATGCATTAATAAATTCCCAAATTACTTTTGAACACTGTATGAATCTACTTAATTTAAATATATATAATATTTCAATTAACAGTTATCTTATGGTCCTAACATTAAATTATCTATGGAATATATAATTTAAAAAACTATTATTTTTATCTCCATTATTTTCATGTTAAATGCAGTTAATACTGTCTTCATAGATGACTTTTTTCAGCTCAAAATAATTATTTTGATTTAAAAAGTGCTAACATTAGCTGTAAAAACTGTAAGCATCTTAAATAAAATGGTTGTATGTTTTTTCAATGATTCCTAGAAGTATATTTGCATACCATTAAGTGAAAAAAAAAGAAAAGTGAATTAACATTACCTAAACGATCAAAAAGGAAAAGAAAACAAAAATGCAGAAATGTTTTTTATTTATATTAAATAATATTTTTATCTACTGGAATTTTAACCATTGTCTTGAAGTTAATTTTGTAAGTATAATACCATAAAATTTTTGAGAATAAGGGCAGTAAAATATTTCATTTGCAAAAGATTAGCTACACATTGTATCTTACTTAATAAATGAAGAAATAAAAACTGAATTATTATAAGCCTGATCTGAGATATGCAATATAGTTAATTTTAGGTGAAGGGTTACACACAAACATGAAAATACATACGCACATAAATGTAAATTTGAAAAAGTATTATTAATATAACACCAATAAGATGACAATTACATTTAAGATATGATTAATTTCTATAGTTAACATTTTCTTGCTATTTTCTCCCATTTATCATAGTGGACATGTATTTGTCCCTTATAATGTATTTGAAAATATTTAACTGTTTAATTTCACCCCTGAGAAATGGGAAGATATGTGTATTTTAAATGTTAGGTCTAAATATTCACTAGGACAATAAGCAATAGTGAAAGAAAACATCTTAAATTGATAGTATTTCACTTACAATGAGGAGAATTATTTTTTTGATAATAATAACAACTTCATGTTCATATCCAAATTAATTTTTCCAACATTATCATGAACTTGTAATACTAAATATCAAGAAAGATAAAGCTGTTCAATTTTAGAATAGTGACGTTAATTAAGCATATGATTATTTAGCATCTAAATTATTTAGGTACTCAATTATATTACAAAATCTACATTTTACTTCAGCGTTTGTTGTCAGAAGTAATAATTTCAGACATTGATATCTTTTAGAATACAGTGATATTTGAAATATAATTGATTCTGGTGAAAGTAGTTTATATGAGGTGGTTAAACACATGAGGAACTGTCTAGAAACAATCTCATGCTATGCAATTGACAAACTACATATTACTTATTTGTTAAGAAATATGAAAATTATTATTTTTGAAATTAATATAATTTCCTAATTTCCACCTATTAATAATTTTAGAATAAAAGCTAAGTGAAAGATGAAACAAAAAAAGTTATTAGTTAGTTATTTACGGAAATTAAGAAACATTATATAATCAAACGTTGAATTATTGAACAAATAAGTACAGTATTTGCTTCGTAGAAAGACCACAGCAATAAAACAAGAATAATAACTAAGTGAAAAATAAATTTAAATATTATAGTTTATTTTCGTCTCATATATTTCATAAAGAATTTTGTCGAGGTCCCCTTAATTTGTTTTTTTAAACTTTAGATATTGATTATATCCATTCTTTTGTTGATAAATCCTTAATGAAAATCAATCAAATATTTAATGTTAAATTTGAGTAACATGTTAATTAATTCATATTGAGAAAAATCTTAAATTAGAAATTTTCTTTGATTAAAAGTCAGATTTAACTTTAATTTTTAAGATACCCTTTGGTATTTAAATGGTTTAAATGGTCCAAATGTGTTATTTTTTAAATATAAAATTTTTTAAATAACATATTTTATATTAGATATAGGTGATTAAACGGATTGTAAGAATGTTACTATAAATAAAATTTCTAGAATCAAAGTAATCTATCTTTTAAAATCAGTTTGTTAATTGCATAATTAATAAGGTAAAGTACGTATAAAATAAATACATTAAACCCAAAATTATATATATATATATATATATATATATATATATATATATATATATAATATATATATATATATATATATATATATATATATATATATATATATATATATTTCCAGATCTGTCATCTATTATTTGTGTGATTACACAATTGTGTTTTTGATAATCATGAAAAAGGGCATAAGTTCTTAAAAATTAGCTTGAATTTTAAATATTAATTAAATAAAATAAAAATATTAAATATTATGATCTATAAATAACTGACAAGTTAGAAATTCTGTTTCTTTTGAGAATAGTATTTAAATAAGTTAAAATTTAATTGTGATCTTCGTTTGAAATAAGAATTATATTTATTTTTTAACATCCATAAAATATTTCTACAGTATTAGTAATTCAAAATTATTTTCTATATGTTTTTATTGATTTGTAGTAACACCTTTTTAAATAATCTGTTTGGACTGATATGATTACAAATTATTTAATAAGTTGTAGTTTAAAAATAAAACTACAACTTAAAGATATATAATCAATTATCCCTGCTGAACCACTTATAAACAAAATGAACCATACTGATTCAGGACACTTGTCAGGAATATCTGACGATTCAATTGTAAAGTATTTAATAGAAAATAGTGTATCTCACAAAAATTTTGAAGGGCTGGTATGCATCACAATTAGAAATAAAAGAATTATTTTACTCTTTAAAGGAAATAAATAAATAAATATATATTTAAAATGCAGAGTTCAAATGATACATAATAATGTTAACAGTGATGTAATGTAATTTCAAATTGTATTATAAATGAATGTATTCTTACTAAAAAAATAGTGTTTTAGATTATTTTAGACAGTTTATATTACATTTATTTTATTGTTTAACAAGAAGAACATATAAGTGGGATTTAGGTCTGAGTAGAAATTTCAATATTTAATCAACGGTATATCACAATATATCATCAGCTTAGAAGATCAAAGATTGCACATCTCAGAAATAGGAATAATGAAATAATTAGACAACAATAACACATAATAATTAAATAATTATCTTCTGATTTTGTTTCCATTGATTAAATATTTATTTACATTCAGAATAGCATTATGAATTTATTTGTAAAGAAAATATATGAAAATGATATGTTTTAATAAACCTTTTCTACAAAAAGAAATAGTGTAAATATGTGCACCCTTTCAAGTGGCAAATTTTGATGAAAATTACCAGCTGCATTATCTTTTTTTTTCTTTCTTTTTTTAGAAAATGGTATTAATTATCTATGTTTATTATTAATTTATTGTCATTTTTATTGTTTTGTGTATGTTTGTAGAAATATTTGAAATATAAAATTGCAAGATTTCATATCAATTACTGAGATTAATTTATAAAATGCTACAATTTTCATAAAAAAATTATGATAATTTTAAATGAAGTACCAGACTTATTTATCTGTAGTAATATAATATTTAAAAAAGATTTAAAGTAAAAATTTGGACGGTGTAACCTTTTGATTTTTCATTCATTGAGTTTCATTTATTCATTATCTAAATAAATTATAAAATAATAGATGAATGAAAAACATATAAAATAAGTCTAGTACATACATTTGATCCTAGCTAAATGCAAAAATCGCAAATATTTTTTAATTGGGATTTTAAAAGCTGATATCAACCTCATCATTTGAATAAATATTGATAAAAAATGGAATGGTATTATTGCTGCAAAATATAAAGTTAAATTTTACACATGTAGAAACTGATTCTTAGGCATTTACTAAAAAAAGAAGAATAATTGGTTAGAAATTAAACTTCTAGTTTATGAGCGATACATTTCTCCGTCACCACTTGAAGCCATAGAAAAGTTTGCTGAATCTCTTTCTGAGATATGCTTTAAATTAAATTTGAGTGGACTCATTAACTGGGGAAAACTGTGATGTTGTGGATATCTGTTCACAACTGCCCTATTCCCATATATATTAGGTGTAAACAAACGCACTCCATTATGGTGAGAAGGAATAGTTGTGTGCCTTGGGTAATTACATGGTGCGTGAATTATCGGAGGAGGAATGACTGGAGGCAAGGGCATTGTGGAACAATGAGGGTAAGGAACACCAACTTGCTGAGTTGGAAAATGAGGTAGAGTAGCTGACTGAGAATCAGTGAAGGATATCATTTTCATGTTTGTACTTCGACCAAATTTGTCTTGTAGATTATTTTGGACTGGTATGTTTTCATTTTCAACTCTACGGCAGATAACTACTTCTCCAGTGTCTTGTGGATTAATTTCCCTTTGTAAAATTCCATTATTCCAATGTTGGTTTGTTTGTTTTTCATTCTGATTAATTTCAGCTTTTTGCTGTCCTGACTGATTTCCTGAAAATGAATAATAATTTAAAAGAAGATTTATTATTGAACAGTGTAGGGTAAAATTTATCTTAAATAATAGAAAATAGATAACAAATGATTTATTTGTATTTTTAACTATAAATACCGAATATTTATGTTTATCTAAATAATAAATAAATTTGAGTTATCTATTATCTTTTTATTTGTTATTCAAGTTTTTCAAATAAATTTGAAATAATTTAGTTGTAAATTTCTTATAGAAAGCCTGCAAAAAAGGAAAAATGGTGTTAAAATTTGTCCAAATCTTTATACGATTTTACTCTTTTATCTTGTAAATCAATGATCGATTTTTCGTCATTCCAACAGTTTTCCAGTTATGTAGAGTTAGGCAAAAATGGGGAAATGGTGTAGACAATTTTTCTGAATTTTTATTTGCTTTTACACTTTTATCTCATGAATGGATGATCGTTTTTTCAGTGTTTCAACAATTTTCTAACTGTTTAGATGTAGAACAATAGAAACAAGAGTGGTGCAAATTTTCATTCGCTTTTCCTCTTTTATCTCGAGGATGAAGAATCAGTTTTCACTATTACAACAATTTTCTATTTGTTAGAGGTAAGTGAAAATGGGGAAATAGAGAAGAAAATTTACCAAATTTTCTTTTGATTTTCCTCTTTTATCTCATCAATGGATGCTTGGTTTTCACCAAAAGCTATGTAAAGTATCAAATGTGCAAAATTGAAAATATGACATTATTTTCATAAAAAGCCCTCCAGAAAATATATTGGGCTCATATATCGGAGAAATCCAATAAGTGTCAAAAGCTCGAATTTGATTTATTCCCAATCAGTGGTTAAATTTTAATAATTGTGTACATTAAGTAGGTCATCAAAAAGGGAGACTTGAGAAACTTGAACTTGAAAAAATCATGGAGGTTCAAATATTTAGGATCGGTAGTGACTGCGCATAATGACATGAAGCAGAAGGAGAAACAAAGACTTGTTGCCACAAACAGTTGTTATAATGGTCTTCTGAAGAATATGAAAAGTTGTTCTCTACTATGATTAACTAAACCTCTCCTGTATAAAGTCCTTATTCGATCGGTTCTGACATACTGGTGTCAAACATGGACACTGACGAAGGCCAATGAGAGAAAAATGTTAGTTTTCGAAAGGAAGGTCCTTTAGAAGATATTTGGCCCAATGAAGGAGAATGATGAATGGATAATTAAATGTGGTGAAATATATCTGGATATTAACGCTGAGATGAGAGTGTTACATTATACAGATGGTTAAGACCCCAACCCCAAAGGAGCCGGGTGGAAAAAGAAAAGTGGGTAGACCGAGGATGAGGTAGATAGATATAGTATGTGCCGATGTCAGAATCCTTTGAATAAGGAATTGGTGGACGGCTGCTCAGAACAGGAAAATCTGGAGGGCAACTCTTGTGGCAGCCAAAATCCATTAATGGATTGTCGAGTATAGGATGATGATGATGATAAATCCGAGAGTATTTTCATAAAGAGTGCCCTCAAAAACATATTTGTGGACCCTATATTGAAGAATCCTGAAATGTATCAGAAACTTAATGCACGATTGTGCAATATTAAATCTGACAGTATTTTGATAAAAAGCATGCCCAACAACATATTAGAGGACCCTTATATTAAAGAAATCTAAAAAATATCTAAAGCTTGATGCGCAATCTTAAATCCATCCGTATTTTCATAAAAAGCTCCCTATATAACATTAGTGGACCCATAAATCGAAGAAATCGGAAAAGTATCTAAAGATTGATGGGCAATCTTAAATCCGTTGGTATTTTCAAAAAAGCTACCCATAAAACATTAATGGACCCATATTTCGAAGAAATCATAAAAGTATCAAAAGCTTGATGCGCAATCTTAAATCCGACAGTATTTTCATAAAAAGCATCCCCGACAACATAAACCTATACTAAAACCCATGGAGGGTGGATCTTGGGTTCAGTACTATTAGGGAAAGTACTGTTACAAGGCCAACGGTTGTGCAGAGAGGGGAACAGACCAGGATCACTCTCAACCACCAGATTTTCCCCTTTAATCAATTATAACTAAGGGTACCCACTTTGTAGAGGCTGGGTATACCCTAGGAGGGTCTCCCTACCACTGGGTCACTCCACGGTCAATGAAACAGAATAAATGATTTTTTTGCCATGAGCCGGGATTCGAACCTGGGACCTTGAGCATTGGAAACTTAGTGCCCTACCACTGAGCTTATATCAAAAAAATCCTCAAAGTATTTTTATCTTAAATAACAAATAATAGATAATTGATAATGCAGGTTATCTTTAAATAATGACTAACAAATAATTATTTCTCTAAACGTCATCAAATAAGAATAATGAATAAAAATTTATCTATTATTCGTTATCTAGATAAAATTTTGAGTAACGTCAAACACTGCAATTGAATGTTCGGAGCAAATAATTAAGTGTAAATTATCATTATCAGCATTTAATACCTGTGTTATGACTTTCTCTACTTGAATTTGAGTGAACTCCACTTGATGTTTCAGAGTGATCAGGAGGAGATCCAGAGATTTCTGAATCTGATCGTGGAGTAAGATCATGAGGCATACCAGAATCTGCTCGCAGAAGGCATCTAGGAGTAGCCTGTGACAAGAATGATAATAATAAGAAAAAACTATCACAAGAATACACTGATACTTAATTATGAACCATCAACAATTATTAAAATGAATATTTTCCAGAGAAGTCATAATTAAAATTTTACAATAGTAAATACCAACTTTTGTCAATGTAATAACTGGAAAGAGACTAGAGAAACTTTGAATTATCAATAATTGGTAAAAAATTAATGTACTAAATAAATAGACTAAATAGTGGCAAAACTATTTTATTAAAAGACAACGTTTCGGCCCTGACTTTGAAGGACTTCTTCAGGACTAGAATAGACAAGATATAAAAAGATATAGGGAATTGTGGAAGTTACATAATATTTAGATAAAAATATATAAACAATGTGAATAAACATACTAAAACTATAAACAGAGTAAGCTAAGTAACAAGATCCTAAACTAAAGTAAATAGATGATAACAATTGTTGTAGTATAATATATGCAATTGTGAGTATACTCCTACAGATCTACAGGTGAGATTGGAAGAAAAGGAAAAAGGATACAATATGAAATAATGGACATAAAGAGATGTGGAGAAAGAAAATAAAAAACAAAAAATAAAAAGATAAGTAAATAATATTAGAAGAATAAAAATAGAAACTTACAGGTGTTTTCAGCAAGGAGTTTCAAATGTGGTTAAGTACACTTGGGGAAATTTGCTGACCTGGTTGTTGTTTCATTTTTCTTTTCTTTCTCCACATCCTTTTATGTCCATTATTTCATATTATATCTTTTTTCCTTTTCTTCTAATCTCTCCTGTAGATCTGTATGAGTATATTCACAATTGCATATATTATATTATATTATAGGATCGAATCCTGGCCCTACTTCCCAATACGGCTGGTCCCCGCGGGAAGTTAGACCATTACCCTCTTAATTAGGGGAGGTCTACAGGTCGCAAAATACTTGTAAGAACAGGCTATACCAAAAAATAAAAGTCTATTTATGACCAACACCCCGGACCATCTCTTTCCTTAATAATACAATGGTCAACTATTAAGTATTCAATAAACTAAATAAATTTACAGGCTATGCAAAATAGGTTATGAAGAAAAATCAATTATTGTGGAATTTAAAAATATAGCAATACCTATGATATAGTATAAAAGAAATTGAAAATTTAATTTATTAGGTATAGAAAGCTTACTGGAGTATCAGAAGGTGGGGGGATTGGTATATCAGATGGTTCAGGTGTAATTAAAGGACTAGGATCTTCATAATCCCCACAAGCAGGAACCAAACCTTTACATTCTGTGGAAGCATACTGAACCTGAAAAGAAAGAAATAAAAGTCCATAATTATTTTGGCATTGGTAGTTTAAAAGGCATTTGTTGCAAATATTATGTATTAGCTTTACACATTTTTTTATATTAGTTACATTCTAATGATATAATTATAAAATGGAAGGTATTTCAGATTAGCCTCATGATAATGAAGACAAGTGAAATAGAAATTAATATTAATGGAAGATTAATAAATTGTTTATTTAAATATTTAAAATTAGCCTAGTTTTAATTGAAAACTAAAATTATTATATTATATTATATTTAAATTATTAAAAGTATGTAAAACATAAATTTAACTTGTAAATGTTATCACATTTACAAATCATTCTAAATAACTGTGGTTTATTAGAACCATTAATGTGAATTATTTGTATGTTTGGTGAGCAGAAAAAATGCATAGTCTTCATGGGTTCGTAAAACTATAGTTTTCAAAAATACTGAAGTAAAAGAGTGTCTACCAAACCTGGAAAAGTAAAGAAAAGTTAGATCATCTTTTAAATCTTGTTAAGTTAAATTTGAAAGTTAAAAAGTTAGGTAAATTTGAAATGCTAGGGGATGCAAGTTTAGAATAATTTTTATTTTTTTCATGATTAACAATGATTTTATTTTATTATGTCAAAAAGTTGATGTATTATTTAAAAAAACATTTTGATACCAAAATGTGTGTTTTAGCTTTGTTAAATAAGTGTGTATTACAGAATTTTTTTTTTTTGTTACAGCCTTCTTTGGTACTTTGTATGTCAAATAGAGCTGTTCAATTTTTTTAGACATATTACTAACTTATAGATCATAAAAAAAATTAAAATCTCCAATATTGTGGATTACAATATTTAAAAATTTGAAATATCGTATTAATTATTTAAAACAATTATTTATAAAGAAAGACCCGGGAATGAGGTGGTTCGGTGATAGGGTGCTGAGCTTCCAATGATCGAGGTCTCAGGTTCTAAATTATTTATTCTGCTTTATTAGCCAGGGATCAGCCACGGGGCCGGGAGACACTCCTGGGACATACCAAGCCTTTATAGAGTGGATACCACTAATTAAATAATTAATTAAGAGGAAAAACTTGCAGATTGAGCATGATCTCTGTCAAATCATCTCCTTGCACCAAGAAACAATACTTTCCCTGCATAGTATTGAATCCAAGACCCTTTAAGGGTTGTATTGGTGCAGGTATTTATAAAGACGAATAAATAATGATTATAAAATTTTATAAAAATTAATAGTGATAATTTACCTTGTTTAATGCAGATGTTTTTAAATATATTTCATCTTGCATAGCAATACCATTTTTTGAATTTGAAATCGGTAGTTCTCTCAGTCTTGCATAATCCCCATCATCACCATCATCCTTATGTGTGCTAGAATAAAAATGTGAAGTGGATATGAATAAAAATTAACACATTTTCAAATGATTTATCTATATTACATGAAAATATAAAAACAATATTACAGCTCATAGGTAATAAAAACAAGACAAATAAAAATAAAAGTCTTACATTGCACTTTGATCAAATGTAACTTTTGGTTTTTGAATTGCTTTTCGTTGCCAACTGATCTGGTCTGAAATTTCGGAATCAGGTGAATTCTTTGGTGACAAGGGTTTCGGTCTAAGCCAATAAATTTGCTCATCATCTTCAAATTGATCCTTATTATTAGTTGGATTCATTTCTAAAATATAAGAGGAAAAAGGTAATTCACTTAAACATATGTATTCAAACTTGTAGGTTAATATGAGGTTTTATTATTCCTATTAAGCTAATTTATTGTAACAAGTTTCGAAGTGATAAATCTAGAAAATTTGCTAAAAGAAATATGTTAACATTTCTTTTTTTGATGGGGAGGGGGAGTTTTAGAAATTAAAAGATAAATTAAGTAAATTTAAAATTATAAAAAACTTTGTTAATTTCTTTGTAAAATATACGAAATTAAGCCGAAAATTCCACTCCAATAACAGGATCTGTGTAGAAGAAAAATCAATCCCGAGAGTAGAAAAATTCAAATACCTCAGCTCCACTATAACCTCAATGAATGACCAACAGCCAGAAATAGACCAGGATATAACTAGCTCTACACAAACAGAGTTTTCCTCTCCCTTTCAAAGGTATTGAAAACCCAAGAAATCTTAAATTAAGGGTATAAAATGCTATGATAAAGCTAGTTCTAATACATGGCTTTGAGACCTGGACACTTACAAGCACCCTAGAAAAAAGTGTTGGAAGATTTGTGAAAATCCTCTTCACAATAACCAGAGCGATCAGGGATCAGATTACTAATACATGGAGAAGAAAGACCAATAAAGAACTGCATACAGAAACTCGTCAATCAATATCCCATGATATGAAGGCAGAAAGGGAAGGGCATGTAACTCATAGCAATCCATCTGGAAGCCGTCATCCGTCTGCTTGGAATTAGCTGCACCTTATCTTGATAGTAAAAGCAGTTCAGTACACATTTACGAAAATATAAACAGAAATGAAAGCGCTGGAGTTAAATATTATTAAGTCAAAATTATTATGTATAAACCTCGATAACTTTTTAGTATCATATATACACACAGCACGTGTGTTAGTGTGTGTGATATTAAATTTGTCAAGGTTTATATGTAATAATTTTGACTTAATAATATACAATAGAATATACATACACATTCGGCCACACACACATATACAGGATGTTGTTTCAGGGTTAAGTGGCCAAACTGCAAAAATGATCTAAGGACCTCAAAACAAGAAAAAAAAAATCTTCTGAAGTTATGTCCACAAACGCTTAGTTTAGGAGATATAACACTTAAATATTTTCGTTGTTATGAATTATTCACGTAATATTAAATAAATAAAACCTATTTGTTAGTTTTAACTACTTTATTAAATAAATGTAAACATTAACCTTCATATTAAATGATGTTCAAAGTGAAGGTATGTCCGCAAAAGTTTTGTTTAGTAGATGGATTAGATAGAATACTAATATGGTCTTTTATTCACAACTGTATAAAAACTATTGACAACATAAGGATTAATACTATTTGGAATTAGCATTGGGAACTCTCAAGAACATTTATCAGTTTGTAAGAGACTTTCGCAGAGTACTCATCATTATGCCTTCCATTTATACTAATGGTGAATATACCGATATATTGTTTGTATACTGTTATTCCACTACAACTGAGAAAGGACGTGTGGCTTCAATTAGATGGTTGTACTGCAAATTACAGAAGAGGTCCACGACAATGGCTAAATATTTATTATCTCAATCAATGGATTGGCTTGCACGCTCTCCAGACCTGACACCACTGGATTTTTTTGTTGGGGGTGACATTAAACAAAAAGTCTATGCAAGTCCGTCAATGACCTTAACTCCTTATGAAGAAGGATAATTGAATCTTGTGAAACAATAACACATGTCCAATACCATTCTGCCACTGCTGCTGTTGAAGAAAGATGCCGAGCCTGTCTTAATGCTCAAGTAAATCACTTTGAACAACATTTAATATGAATTTAATATTTATGTTTAGTTAATTAAGTAGTTGGAACAAATAAAGAAGTTTTATTTACTTAATACGACCTAAATAATTCATAACAATGAAAATATTTAGGTGTGAATATCTTCTAAACAATCCTTGCGGATATACCTTCATAGGAATTTTTTTTCTTGTTTTGAGGTCCTTAATTCATATTTTCAGTTTGACCACTTAATCCTGTATATCAGGTCCATATATTTTACAGATTACCATAATAATGTTAAATAATTAAATTCTATTATCAGGGATGCTCTATACCTTAGTGATATGTTTGTAAACATGTAGATTGCATTCACATCCTCTCCATTTATCTTATCAAGGAACTCAGTATAAGTTAAAGTATTCGTTCCGAAGTATTTTTTTCGAAATTCCCTCAGAATTGGGCATACTACAATGAAGTGATAAATATTTTCTATTTGCTTTAAGTTGCAAAGAGAACAAATATGGCTGCCGATTCTATCTATTCTGTGATTTAATTGAAGTAATTCTCATCTAACTTTTATAATCGTGCTTATAAAATGTGTAGACCAATTTTGGGTGAAATACATTTTTGGTATGTTCTGATTTAAATCTTTGTAAATGAAATTTAGCACCTTTAGCTTTGTTAGTGAGTTCTATACATGTGCCAGTTTCTAACTACCAACCTGCTTTATCGTCTCCCACAAAGTGACTATATTTCTAGTTAATTAGTGAACTTAAGTGTAATAAAAACAGTGTCAATTTAACAGTTATCAATTCATTATTCAATTCAACATAAACACAGTGAGTAACAGCTTGTTTATTAACATTAAGACAACTGTGTAAACAACGATAGTTGGATAGGTAGAGGCCATAGTCATCTATCATTGCCCCTACTCCCCTTCACTGGCTCTACGGCCTTCTAAGAGAGCACAAATGTTACTAGGTGGCCTCTACACAGTCTATGTAATTATTTACAAACTAAAAACTTTTAAGTTTATCATCCTACTAACATGAGATGCGATATTATCACATGATAATGTCAAGTAAGTATAACAGGTCCAGAAGTTAGGCAACAACAGCTTTCATAGCTCACCTGTAAAACGAAATCTTAGGCATTTTAATCGAAAAACACCATCTTCAACACCTGATAATCCAAGTGATAACATAAATGACCCACAACCCCACAAATGACCCACAACCCGGTACTTTTATGATCACCGAAACCATGACTACAGAAAATATAAACCATTGAAACAGACGAATCTCCATTTTTCACTCAAAACCCATATCAATTACAAGAAACCATGGAAACACCACCAACCCCCAGAGAGCCAAAACCACCTCCAATATTCACTAGAAATATAAAACATTTCCCTCTATTTTGTCAGCATCTAAATAAACTACTCGACAATGGCAAATACATATGTCAAAGTCAAATCAATGACACCAATTTGATGACCTCTTTCCTAAACCAGGTAAACCTGTCAATAACAACTCATCTCATAGACCAATAAGCTTGCTCCCGATCCTCTCAAAAATCTTTGAAAAAATCCTTCTCAAACACATCCTACCTATACTCGAATCCAACAATATTCCTTCCCATCAGTTTGGATTCTGCTCAAGACATTCCACTGTTCAACAAGGCCTTCGCGTTTTTGACCATATATCCTCTGCACTTGAAAACAAGCAATATTACACTGGTGCCTTTCTGGACATAGTACAATCCCCATGTATTAAAAAAAAAAAGTATGAATATTTTCCTTTTTAATCTATTTTTTTTTTAATTTATATATTTATTTCTATTACTTATATATATATATATATATATATATATATATATATATATATATATATATATATATTTTTTTTTTTTTTTTTTTGTTACGAATTTCTGTAGTTTATTTAATTTTATCTTCAAGTTACATTTCCTTGGTTTTTTTTTTTTTTTTTCATAGTTTTTGCCTTGCTATATATATATATATTTTTATTTTTCTGATTTTTTAAAATTTTTATTTTTGCATTGTATAGATTGTATGAATGAGCCTCATTCAGCAATAGTACTCGGTGCCCTTAAGTGTGGCCTAAGTATTATTTACCAATAAAAAGATCTTTAAAAAAAAAAAAAAGCTTTATTAATAATACCAATATCCCACTCCTTTTTCATATCTGTAATTAATCTATCAATAAATAAATTACTGTTTCTTTAACTTAATTCATTAACTATATCTTCATTTAGTCTGTGCCCTCAAGAGATTAGCTTCTGTGCCCATGATAATTTCTTGTTAACCATACCATTGGCCAAAATGTTTGGTAGTCGCGAGATTTGCATTTTTATGACCTTAATAATATAGTTTAAGTGCAAAGATAATGTATGATAAAATAAAGGTTTCAACTGTGTTTCTTGATATAATATGTAGTCTGGACAGTTCTTTGGTAGTAAGAACAGTTTATTTGCAAACAATTTGTTAAAAACTTCAATCTCCCGTATTTCGTCATAGCTCCATAATTCTGAGCCATGACAAATTATAGATCTTCCCACAGATTCAAAAACTTTAAATTTTGCATTTATAGATATATTCTAGTTCCTAATAAGGTGGTTCCAAATAGTGTTAACTCCAAATTTTGAAACCGATATTTTTTCTTTAAAATGTTTATTTAACGATAATTGAGGGGTTAAGACTATACCTAAGCACTCGTAGTACTTAACGATTTCAATTTCTTTTTCCCAAAATACTATTTTTAATTTCTGGCCAGTTTCTCACCCTTTTTATGAATCATTATTTCTGATTTTTTGAGATTCACTTCGAGATTCCACATATTGCAATACTTTTCTAACCTATTTATCATAATTTGTAATGTGTGTGAATCATCAGCAATTAAGGCAATATCATCCACATAAAGCAGGCAATTTATTTTAACACCACATACAATAATAACCCCCCCTAGGAATTCTGAAAGGTCATTTATAAATAATAGAAACAATAGCGGCGACAAAACACACCCCTGCCCCAGGCCTATTGTTGTTTTGAAAGACCCAGTTAATCCTTTTGGAGTCCAGGCCGAAGTTTTAGTACAGTTGTACATCTTGCTTAGGATCACGACAAATTTTGTTGACAGTCCCATTGCATATAGTTTATAAAAGAGGTACTTCTCACTGGTGAATCAAATGTGACGCTAACATCAACAGAAAATGTATACAGTTTTCTTCTCTTCAGAGCACTTTTAATTTTAACTACCTAAAATTAATCTACCAAAATAAAGCACTGACACACATTTCCTTTAAAATTATATCACTAATATAAAACGCCAGCAAGAATTACTTTTTCCAGTGGGTGCCGGGATACGTAGGAATATCAGGAAATGAAATGACAGACAAAATGGCAAATCAAAACCAACTACATCGAATAAACGCGAAGGTCCCTTTACTGGATTTGATAAGAGTAGTGAGGAGAAAAATAATGAAAGACTGGCAGCATTTCTACGACTGGGAATGTGCCTCGAAGGGTAAGGACCATCATGCAGTTCAACAGAAGATAGCACTGATTCCATGGTTTGCGACCCTTAAATCTCATCTCGACCGCTCCAGCTTAGTAAAGCTGACCAGGCTTAGGATAAACCACGGTAGAACAAATAAATATCTTCATCTAATGGGTCTAGCTAAGAGCGGTCACTGCCCAACATGCCAATGCTTGGAGGATCCAAGACACATTGGCTTCAAGTGCAAAAGGTTCGAGAAGCGAAGAAGAATTAGTTTAGGGTCGCAAACTATGGATGATGGAGCTAACTTTCTTAGGTCGATGAACAAAGATAACGCCCGTGACTTGTTAAAGTTCATGAATGACATCAAAGCAGTCATATAATAAAAGTAACCACTTATTCTCAGTTAATTGTAATTCTAATTCATCTCAGTTTTTAACCATTAGTCTTGCTAGTTTCCATAATATCTAATATCCAAGTCCCATATAAGTCACTTTCAGTTATCATCTAACTATAAATAATTAATATAAATCCAGTGTAATTTCCATCTAAAAACCGTAATTTCATCTCACTATGACAAATAAAATATTTTGCTGGCAAAATAGGACTTGCTTTTACAAGTCTTAAACCAAAAAAAAAAAAAAAAAAAAAAAAAAAACTTAATGTTTACAGATTTTAATTCATTGTTGGTAGTGTTACAATTAAAATAGAAAAACTTACATTAGAATAGGAAATGTATGTTCTGGGAACACATATGTCAGAGAGTGTGTGAACAGAACATTTTTTTATATGCAAGTAGGAAATCTGGTAAAATAGCTATGATGTAAAATAAATAGGAACTCATATGTCTCTAAAAATATATGTAGATAAATAATTACTAAAACTAGTATTAAAGAACTTCCATTTGAAAATCTTAATCTTAATTAATTGGAATCTTAAATTACAGTTAGATCATTCATTTGATTTGAAATTAAATAATTTTACCTTGCATTCGAGCTTTTCTTTCCATGGCAGTTTTATGAATGACATTAATAATTGTTTTCTTTGGTGAAGTATCACATACAGTATATGTTCTGCCACTAGCCACAACCAATAAAGGAGCTGATGCTTCACATGATGATAATAATTCCACATCAGTAAGGAGTTTAATAGATCTGGCTGATTTTACAGCTGCTTTACCAACTGTTACTCGGAGTTTAAAAACCCAATTTTGTTTTATTGTTAAAATTAGCCACAATACTACCCAAATAAATAAATGAAAAACTGCAGCTATCACTGAAAACAGCACTAAACTATCTAAGGTAGATTTATATATAACCGCCAAATCAACCAGTAAAGGCCCTTCTACTACAGTTATGGCTAGAAGTACACATAGTGCAGCACAGTGAGTGAGATAACCCCATTCTCTTCCTTCAACACTAATAACCTTGCATGCTTTTTCATGACTCAAAAACGCATTGTACCTAAAACAAAATTTATCAATCATTTCAAGTATTACTGGAAATACAATACAAGATTACTTTAATAATAATTAAACTAATAAAATTCAGTTACCTTCCATATCCATACAAATATAAAACCAGGCTTGAAGATAAAACTAAGCATGATGTAAGTATAAGAAGCGCTAAAGTAACATGAGAATTCAAAAGAAAAAAATGATTTCCAAATTTTAGAGGTAAAGTTTTTAATACTTCTGATGGTCCAACCACATGAACCTAAAAATGATAATATAAATAATTATAAAAAAGAAATATTTTATTCATAAAGTAGTGTTGCCCCAATACATTGGTGGATTCCTACAGACATAGCATAAAATAATACCATTTAAATAAATTATCCCAATAAAAGTATAAATATATACTTTTTTTCATGCCTGTTTTTTTCTATTTTCAATATAGGTATAGAATAGAATAGAAAAATCAACTTTATTCTGGGATTAAGTCCCCTAAGAACCGTCTTTCAAGCTGAGATTCTAGCTATCGACTTCTGGGCTCAATCACTTATAAGGGAGGGCATTGTGAATAAATTGATAACAATATATACAGATAGTCAAGCGGCAATTGGGACCCTGAATAGTTATGCAACTCGCTCAAAGTTGGTGGATGAATGTGAAGGCAATCTTAACCTTCTTTGTAGTACTAACAAGGTGAGGATAGAATGGCTACCTGGGCACTCAGGCATTCCAGGAAACGAGAAAGCCGATTACCTTGCTAGGAAAGGCTTTGCACAAGTGCCAGTTGCAGCAAAGCCCATCTGTGGGATAAGCATTGGCTTTGCCAAAAGGCATATGAAGGCAATCGTTGGTAATAAATTTATGCTACATTGGGAGCAGACTATGCAACAAACTCATTCTAAGTTGTTCCTAGTAGGGCCCTGTCACAAGAGAAGTAAATCACTTCTTCTAATGGACAGGAGTACCATTAGGCATGTGACAGGATTGTACGCTGGTCACTGTCAATTAAATAAGGACCTTTTTAATTTGGGTATAAATGAGACCTCCACCTACAGGCTGTGTGGCCAGGAGGATGAAACGGCCTATCACGTTATTTGAGATATGATAATATGGCTGGACTGTGATACTTCCCCTTTGGATGTGATCATATCACTGACTCTAAGAACTGCGAACTGATTGATCCTATTAGTATTAACAGGTTCGCAAAGGGATCTGGCCTGTTTTAATTGAGTCTAGAACGATGCACAATAGGCCTTCTTGAGGCCGCGGTGCACTCTTAAGTCAATTAAAAAAAAAAAGTCCCCTGAGAATAATTAAAATGTACAAGCAAATAAACATTGATTTTGGCCATAAGAACTATTACAATAAATGAATAACTAAAAAACATGTAATATATATATATATATATATATATATATATATATATATATATATATATATATATATATATATATATATATATATATATATGAAATATATGTATCTTCCCTTTTTACTTTACAATATACAATTTGTCGTTATTATTATGGTCTTATCAACAATCTATCTAATCAATTTTTTTTAGTATGTTTCTATTTTGTAATACTTTGTATGAGAATAAAAAACACGTATCTATGAAAATGACACAAGCTCGACTCACAGTTTGTGAAAAAGATTTTTTTTCTCTTTGACAATGTGACCTATTAAAAGGATGTTAAGAACTCCATACAAATGATACAAAAAAGCAAAACAGTGCTGAATGTACACATTTACTCATACATTTTTTTTAGTTATAGTATTTATGATGAAGAACTTAATAACTAGCTCTGTGTCTTTACCACATAATAAACTTGCTGTTAAAGACTGAAATAAGAGGTGGCAAACCCATGTAAAAAGCCTAAGACTCGACTGAGGACAAATAAATTATTAGTAAAACCCAACACAACTAGGCAGCACCAATACCACATATTTCTTCACTCTTTATTGCCCTCTTACAACGCATTCTATGCGATACCACAGTTTCCCTCCAACGCTTATCTTTTTACTTCTGGTATTAACACCTCATGGATCTAAAAAAAAAAACAGGCAAAATTTTTCTTTCTAAGTTTAGTTAACTCGTTATCGACTATATGGTGAAAGTGTTATAAGTAGAGATCGACCGATATCAAAATTTTGGCCAATACCGATATTAAAAAGGCCGATATATGGGCCTTTTCCCCCTTTTATGTCAAGGTTTTGTACAGTTTCACATGGAATATTCTACTTATTGCTAAATAAAAGAATAAATAGACCATCTATGAATTGCCCTATAAGCAAATTTTGACCGTTAAGAGAGAGATAAACCTATATTTCAGCATATCGGCCTTTCGTCCCTATATGTCTGGTTCCATACAATGTCGCATAGAAAATTCTTGTAATTACTGAATAAAAGTATCAATCAATCATCTAGGGCTAGGTCTATATACATATTTCAGCCAATATCTATATTCTAAAAACTGATATACAAACACTTTTTTTTTTTTTTTATTCTCTGAACCCCAAAATTTTATGAAATGAGCTTTATACCAATATTCTAAAGACCGATATATCAGTCTTACGACCTTATTTTATCAAGGTGCATACTAGGGAATTATTTTTATGCTATTATTGATAATATTTTTTTGGTCCATCCCATGATGTATTAGCCTTTTGATCTTATTTTATCATGATTCATAACGAGATTGGTAGTTTGATAATTTTTATTTTGTGCTTGTCTTCTTCTAATTTCCTTTCAGTCCATCCTATACACTGATATAGTAGCCTTTGAACCTTATTTTATCATGATTAATAAAGTTTCACTTGGAATATTATTTATGCTAATAATAAATGGGCCAGCTAATTGCCATGGATTCGATATAAACATAAATGTGAGTAAAGGCTGATTTAATTTTATAGAGATTGGTAGTTTAATAATTTTTATTTTGTGCTTGTCTTCTTCCAATTGGTTTTCGGTCCATCCTATGGATCGATATATCAGCCTTTTGACCTTATAATATCATGATTCATGTAGTTTCACTTTGAATATTAATTATACTGATAATTGATGGGTCAATTAATTGCCACTGAATCGATATAAACATTAGGTACTTGTGTCCTATGCGGTCGGGATGGACTGCTATCTGCCAATTTTTAAAACCTAAACACTGATAATTCTGATAAGGCACTGATAATACCTATCTTTTTCTATATCTGATAAAAATCTGTCGAGAGAATGAGTAAAAAAAATAAATAAATAAATATTTAAAAAAAGTGCAAAGTTTACCAATCTTAATAAAATACAGTCATAAGGCCGATATTTGAAATGAAAATATTTTTTTATTTATTATCCCTGGACTGTTGTCCCTTTAGGACAAATTATAGTTATGCCTGTGTGGCCATAAATTAAATTAAATATTTACAAATTTTATTCAAATTAAAATATTTGAAGAAGAAAAAAACAAAAACATACACAATATATATAAAACAAACATGGGAAAATAAAATAACATAAGTAAACTAAATCATTTCTGGAGGAACTTAAAAAGTTCTCTTATGTAGATTTTGTGATCAATCGGGCTGGGAAAGAAGTAGATGCTTAAAAAGGATGGTATCCAATCAGGATGGCTTTCGTCTTCTTGGTATTTAGAGTAACCCTATTGTGGTTTGCCCAAGCACTTATTCCGTTTATATCTTCCTGTAATTTTTGGATGATGTCAGAGGATTCGGTCAGATTGAAGGAGAGGTAAATCTGGATGTCGTCGGGATACAGATGGTATTGACAGTGTAGGATAGAGGATGGGAGGTCATTGATGCAGATGGAAAAAAGGGTGGGAGATAAGGAAGAGCCTTGTGGGACACCTCTGGACAAGTGTAAAGATTCTGATGGGGGTTTATTGGGGACTACAATATAATGGGAGCGGCCGGTAAGGAAGGATTGGAACCAATTAAGGGCACTAGTAGAAAAGGAGATATTTTTAAGCTTGGTTAGGAGAATTTTGTGGTCTACTGATTCAAAAGCTTTGGAGAAGTCAAGGAGAATAAGGATGGTGAGTTTCTGCTGGTCCATGGCTGTATGAAGGTCTTGGAAAATTTTGATGAAGGCAGATTGAGTGGAGTAGCCAGGCCGGAAACCGGACTGGTTGGGATTTAGGCGGTTATTCTTTTCTGAAAAGTCGGATAACTGGGTTTGAACTAGTCACTCTAAAGGTTTGGAAAAGTTTGAGAGGAGAGACATTGGACAGAAATCATTAAGAGTTGATGGATTGGAAGTCTTCTTCATAGGGCGAACTAGCGCGGTTTTCCAGGATGTAGGGAAGGTAATATGGTACTATTTTGTAGTGAGAAATTGTAGATATGGTAGAGGATTGGAAGGATGGATGGTAGAGAGGCTTTGATCAGTTTGAATAGAATGTTATTGGGTCCATAATCATTGGTATGCGATTTCTGAATGGAGTCAAGATCATCAGAGGTAATATGGGGTAAAACAAGTGATCAGGATTAAAATTAAAAGGGTACATACCGGTATGGTCGCAAATGAGAAGGGACAGGAGAAAAAGTGAGCGTTAAGGTCATCAGCAGAAAAGGAAATGAACTGGGTTTGAGGTGTGTTACAAATGGTCAGTTTTTTGAGAATAGCCCACTTGGCCTTGGAGTTCGGGGTGTTGGATAAGGAATGATGGAAATAACAGGATTTGGCCCAGCGTATAGCAGACCGAGTGCTGTTTCGAAGTTGTTTGAAGGCGATATTATTCTCCGGGAGTTGGGTAAGTTTAAACCGCCGTTTTGCAGCATTTGTTTTTCTCATGCATTCTCTCAGAGCGGGTGTCAGCCAAGGAGCAGGGGATGTCGGATGGATTTAGTTAGGAGAGGAGCATGGCAGTTGAGGATGGTATGAAGATGATTGGTAAGGATTTTTACCATGGCGTCAATGGATTTTAAGGAATAAATGGGGTCCCACTGGGTATTGTCGAGATTCTGCGACAGGGCTTCATAGGTGAGGGAATTAAGGTTTCAGAAGTATATGATTTGAGGAGAAAAAAACGGAACCGAGATGTAGGAAAGTTGGATAAGCTTATAGAAAGACAGAAACGGAACCAGATGCTGAGATGCTGCGAAGAGTTTAACCAGGGAATCCAAGATAACGAGATCAAGCCAGGACTCTGAGATATACCGGTCTTTGCTTAAATTTATGTTTATGTTGATCCCTTAATGAATGATTGGCATATTTACTAGCAATAAAAAGTAATATTCAAAGTGAAAGAGGCCATTATATCGGTTAAAGGCGATGACTAGAAGTTTGGAAGATGTTGAAAAGAAAAAATTAATAAAACAAAAAGGTCTAACTTTACCAATCTCAATAAAGTATGGTAATATGGCTGATATATCGGTCTTTGCTTAAATTTGTGTTTATGTTGATCTCTTGATGAATGATTGACATATTTATTAGTAATAAAAATAATATTCAAAGTGAAAGAGGTATATTGAATATATTGATTCAAGGGGATAACTAAAAAATTTGGAAGATGTTTACAAGAAAAAAAAAACAGTGCAAACTTTACCAATCTCAATAAGATAAGATCATAAGGCCAATATTTCATTTTTTTGCTCAAATTTATGTTATGTCTATGCAGACCTGTTTACATTTGATTAACACATTTATTAGCAATAAAACAATATTCAATGTGAAAAAGGCCGATATATCTGTTAATATAGGTTATCCGTGCAGAAAATCTGGAGAGGGGATGAGAAAAAATATAAAATAAAATAAGCCAATATATCGGCATATCAGCGTTTGATATCGGCTGATACCGATAATCAGAGAGTTGTGGTTTTTTCCAGCACATATGCTCGTGTCTCTTACTCTTTTGCAAAATAAGAGCCAACCAAAATGAATAGAACTATGGAAGTAAAATATAAATAAGTTAGTGTTGAGAAGAGTAATGAGAATCCGGTGGAAATGGGAAAAACTAAGATCTGAAAAATAAGTAAAAATTTGTCCTTTTTAGTAATATTGTTCTTAGTAATATACAGAAATTGTTCTTTTATAGTAATTTTTTACCTTATACAAAATACAAACTCCAGCATAAACAAACAAATTTTGAATTCCATTGATAAAAAGTTGAAAAGAAAATATGGCTCCCCAACATTTATTTGTATTCCAGAATACAGCTGGATAGCGCACTGCATAAACTGCAAGTGCAAGAGCATAATTGAAGAATTCGATTGTGACTGGTCCAATTTTATGACCATCTAATGGAAAAAAAATAGATTAGTTCTTGTATGGCATAATAATAAACATAAATCATTTTAAACTCAATTAATAATAATTATACCTTGTCCAGCAAAAATAAGAAAACCTTGAGCAATAGGTGTGGTTGATGAAACAGGTACTGGTGTTGTTTTGGTTATATTATTTTCCATATTAGAAGGAATCAAAGAGCCTGCTGTGTCGTCATATGATGAAATTAAAAAATCTAAATCGGTTTTCCACACATCTTCTAAAATACAAATTTAGAATTATTAAACACCTAAATTATCTAAAAATAATTTAATTATATTCATGGAAACTTCTGGTTTTAGGATATCTTAATTTACATGTAAAAGGGTTTTAAAATCATAATTATTAATTGATTTCATGCAGTAACTGGTACTTTGTGTAATTTAAATAAATTTATTTGATAATAAGTACAAATCTTGTTAATTATTTACTGAACAAAGCATCTAAGAAGTTCAGAAAATCTTTTTCTTAGTATAATAAGACCTATTGTATGTAGAGGAAAATAAGCGGTTATAGGTTGTTTTTTTAAATTTTACAAACAGTGTGGAGGAGGTGTGTAGATGTTGTATATTAATTAAAGTATTTAAAATGTAATATATATTAAAAAAAGTGGAACAAAATAAACTAAATTATCATCTTCTTGTACTATTTTGTGAATTACATTTAATTAATTAGAATAATCTGGGAATATTTTGTTAAACTTAGTAAATTGAAAAGTCTTGGAAGAAATTAAAAATATATTCAGGGTGGATGGGTATGTTTTTTCATTATAGTCTTTATGAAGGAAAAATGAAATGGAAATTTTTGTATTTATAATTTCTTTCTGATGAACCATTTTAATGAGCCATGTGTGTGGCAGGTAATGCTAGTGACATATAAATGACCACTGTTAGTTATTATAAAATGGTTCATATCAAAATTATTTATTTTATTGTAGAAAAGACATAGTAAAATATATGTTAATACTAATAGTGATTATAGCGCCTCTCCTCAGCCTCTACTGGTCCTAAATACCAGTAATGCGGCTGAGTGTGAGGCGCTGGGATCTCCTATAGTCCTGTCTCTTCTTCCATGAGTGGAGAGAAAGGCTTGGCTTGGTGTTCTCCTGAGTGAATGGATTCTGTAAATATTGTATAAAAGTATGCTCGAGTTTCAGTTGTTATTTTGATTAGTTTAGTTCTTTTGTTTATATACATTTACTTTTAGTATTACTATTTTCCGTAATATTTATCTTTATTTATTGTAAATAGAGTGTGAATGTGCTTGCTGAACACTATTATAAATGTCCTTAATTGTGGCAGATTGTAATATTTATGAATAAATAAGTAAAATAAAATACTAATAAATTAAATTATTTTATTAAAATAATAAGGAATATTGATCTAATACAACTAAAATTCATTCCTTACAATTTTAAATCAAATATTTTCGTATACTGACATATATTTAACTAGTTAAAAAAAAAAATAATAAAAGATAATCCAATGCAGAATGTCATTTCATGATCAGTTTGTTATCTATTGGCTGATCCAGAAGTTTCTTTTTTTTTTTTTTTTTTTTTTTTTTTTTTTTTTTTTTTTTATGGTAGTCCAATATAGGGAAGCTGATCAGGATTTGGAAAGCCTGGTAAGAAAAGCCGAGCAAACATCTCACAACTCAGACCAGTATGAAGATTTAAAGAGATCCAAAATGGGAAAAGGTTCGTTTCATCATCAGGAATAGCCTGAAAAAATTTGGAGAGGAATGCCAACCAGATAAGTCACATTGCCAGCCAGAAAAGTCAAGGATGGCATGGGAAGATGGAGACAAATTCTGGAAAAAGAGGTACAAAAAGCAAGTCAGACCTTGTTCAGATTCAAGGATCTTGCAAAAGATGAAAATGGACAGCAGAAATTTGTGGCACTCTATATTCTATATAAGGTATTTTGGGATTTAGGACAGAGTATTTAAGTTCAGTTTTTGTGTAAATTTTACAACAGATTTTTCTATAAGAAAAGAAATACAGAAGATATGACAATGAAAAGATACGTTTTATGATCAATAACGGCACCATCTTTTAATACCATCCGTGTTACCCGTTACAACCAAGAGACACTATTGGAATTATTCATCAAGATAAAGTTCTAAAGACAAAATGACTTTCACATCTGTTCTTCATGAATACTTCCAGTAAAGGTTTGAAATAATATTCAAGAATTGAAAAATAAAATTAATAAAAACAAATTTCATCCTGTATTCAAAACAAATGTCATACATTTTTAAAAATATAATTTATATTTGGCTTAAACAAATATATTCATAAAAATAACTAACCTTTAGGTAGTAAATCTGCTTCAATGAGTTTGGCCTGAATAAGAAGATTAGGTAGGAGTAAACAAAAGGCTGATACCAAATGTAAAAATGGAGCCGTGGGGCCTCCGTGTTTCCAAACTGCTTTGATACCAGAACTAGCTGACATAGTAATATCATTTGAACATGTACTGAGGTGTCGGCCAAGTTTGTAGCCATCATTAGCCCAGTTTCCAACTTTGAAAACTGAAGCTGCCAAAAATATAGGAAGAAGAAGTATTGCTATTCCTGTAAGAACTAAGGAAGCTTCAATTTCATTTCCATCCTCATTTTCCCAAGAATACTCAAACCATTCTGAAACATCAAAAACTTTGTATTAAGTTGATATATAGGTATTTACAAATATCAAATATCCAGCTAATGAGAAACAAGCATCGACATTAAGGCCCCTACACACAGCATGCGATATGCAATAAGCAATAATATCCCGCAGGGCAATAATATCTGCAATAATGTTTAACGCTCCTCCGGTCTCCTGAGTTCAGTACAATGCACACACATTGCACCATAACAGTACACAATACATTCATACTGACATTAAGGAGATAACAGTACATACCCTAGGGTCACCTTCTCTAGGTAGCGGATTTATTATATTGGGTTGTCTTAGAAAATAATTCAGGGTTTTGGTTTAAAAGGAAAAAAGAAAGATTTAAAACTGTTTTATTTAATCAAAATAGTCTCCACTACTATCAATACATATCTCCCAATGTGTTGACAACTTTTACATAACCTTGGGATTGAATTTCCTGTCTTTAGAATTGATAAACTCCAAAAACGCATTTTCTAATTCCCTTTGTACATTAAATTTTTTTCATGTAAGTGGTGGTCCAGGTGTCTAAAAAAATGATAATCCGTAGGCGAGAGATCCTGAGAGTAGGGCAGATGTGACATAGTTTATTATCCCAGCTCCAACAGTTTTTGTGATGTCACACGTCAGAAATATGGTCAGGCATTGTCATGCAACAAAGATGGCTCTTCCCATTGACCAAAAATGGCTTCATTATTGCCAATTTCTGATGCATTGCATTAATTTGGTTACAATATGATTCGCCACTGACAGTTTTTCCAGGATTTAAGAAGCTGTAGTGTATCAAACCAAATGAAGCCCACCAAACAGTAACCATCACCTTTAATCATCAATATTGAGGGCTTTGGAAAATGTTTTGCTACTTCTCCATTGTCGAGCCACTGTCCAGAACGTCTACTGTTATCATGAAGAATCCACTTTTCATCATAAGTAACAATTTTGGATATAAAAGGGTCGTTTTTGTTTTGGCAAAGAAGTGTAGCACAAACTTCATAATGCTGGTTTTTTTTTTTGGCAATCATTTAATGTGTGTGGAACCCAATTTTCAAGCTTTTTCACCTTTCCAATTCCCTTGAGGTGGTCATCAACGGTCGATTTGCTAAGGTTAAATTTTCCTGCAAGTTCTCGAACAGTTGCTCTGGGGTTTTCTTCTACCAAAGCCCGCAGAACATCGTCATCAAGAGAGGAAATCCTTCCATGACCTTCTTTGTCTTCAAGGCTAAACTCTTCCTCCCGAAATTTTTCAAACCACCGTTGAACAGTGCACTCATTAATGCTGCTCTCACCCCAGACTTTACTGATGATTCTGGCTGTCTGGGTTCCATTCCGGCCGAGTTTAAACTCGTAAAACAAAATTATAGGAATCACGAATTATACGAAAATCACGCATTGCCATCTTAGTAAAGACTGAATTATTTCTAAGCAGCGAAATCCTACAGAAGTAAACAAACATTATCATTTGGAAGAGGATTAATAAATGTTGACATTCATACAAATAAATAATCCAGTAAACGTAAACAGTTTGTTGTATAGAGGAGTATTTTAAAGAAAACTCAAAATCCTGCATTATTTTATGGACAACCCAATAGAAACTAAAACAAGTGAAAACAGGATGGATTCTATGGAGACAATCTTTGGCATTCAACGGAACACACAAATTGAATTCTGGAATGTGTGCACCTTGTATGACAAAGAAAAGCTAAGGCAAGGCAAGGAGAGAGAGAAATGAATAATTATAAGCTCGACATACTAGGAATCAGCGAAGTTAGATGGCTGAATCATGTCGGGATGACTACAAGAGAGGGTAAAGTATTAATGTACTCAGGAACTATTGGGGAAGGAGCAAAAACAGGTCAGGCATAGTGCTACTCTTGAACAAAATGCTATCTTCTCTTTAAGGTAATCAACTACCACCCAAAGCTATCATGTTCCTCATATTTATATACAACTGCATCTTAATAACTACCCATTTTCATCTCTTACAGAAACATTCCACCATTGTCTTTTTCCTTAAAACAGCCAAACCTTCCAATAATACATCATCCTATAGTCCAATCAGCCTACTCCCAATCCTTAAAAAAATGTTTGAAAAGATTTTACTGAAAAGAATCCTACCCATGATAGAATCCCAAAACCTTCCTACCCATCAATTCTGATTTCTTTTCCAACATTCCACTGTTCAACAAGGACTATGAGTTGTTGACCACATATCCTCAGCCCTAGAAAGCAAAGGGTATACCCTTTGCTTTCTATGGCTGAGGATACTAGGGAGCATTCCTGAACATCGCGCAACCTTTCGACCGCTTATGGAACATCAGACTACTCTTCAAGCTTAAAACCTACCTACCCCAGTCCTTATATCTAATATTCCAATCCTACCTCTCTGACCATTCCTTTAAAGTTCGCTGTGGTACAGAATCCTCCGTCATTCAAGCAAGGCGGGAGTTCCTCAAGGCAGCGTCTTGGGTGCCACCATCTACATTCTGATATTCCTACTCATCCTGAAACCCTCCTGGCAACATTTGCTGATGACACAGCCATCCTATCTTCCAATCCAGAAACAGCGTCCTTAAACCTACAAAGTCACCTTTCTCTTATTGAACACTGGTGTAATAAGTGGCACAACAAATACACGGTAGGCTCTACTGTGCACCCCTCCTCCCCCATATCCCTATAGATTGCATATTGTTGTGTTCCTTGTAAATATTTATTAACAAAAAGCCAATATTCCCACAAAAAAAAGTGAACGAACTACCCCAAAATGGCGTACTGACGACTTTGACTTTAGTTAGTTTTTTGGTCACTGAGAATCAGTATTTGGCTTAATTTCGTCATAATTGGTCTTTTATTAAAGATGGATAGTCCAAAAATAAGAAAACATGAAAAAATATTAAAAAATAATTGGCTTAGGCAATAAAAACACCAGTAAAGTAAATTTTTTCAACAAAAGAATTTTCAAGTTGAAAATCAAGCGTCGTTTGTAATTAAATGGCCAACAATAACGCAAAACGTGCTGAAATAATACATCTGGGGAATATATTTCTCTTTCTAAAACACTGATCACTTTTTAAAATATTTCAAGCAGTTCGGCAGAAAATGCACTTATACGGCAGAAAAGCGATACTCACATAAGTGCCTACAGGCTTCTACCACACCATTCAGTACTCATAAATGGCTTAGTTATATTGCTATAATAACGTTTTTGGTACAATGTATTGATTGTATTAACGAAGAAATATGAATACAATAATTTAATTGTAAAAAAAAAAATTAATTATTTTATTTTAATTTTTAAAATTTAATTTCTTTTATTATATACGGAGGTCGTTTAAGAAGGCTTCTATTATAAAATTACAATAATAAAACTTAATTCAAAAATACTTCGCTGAATATCTTGAATTTTTTATTTAACGTTTGCAATTTAACACTTTCTTTTGTATATTTACTGATTCTTAGAGGTAATTTAAATTGTATGTAGTTCCCCTGAAATGAGTTATATTAATACCTGTTTTATAAACTAAAATAATATATACCTAATCTGAACTACATATAATGAATAGTTGATTGGTTGTTTAGTAAAACTCATACATCACAAACAAAAAATTAATATTTATTTCCTTTATTTTGTTCCGAAGTTAGACCATATCATAAAAATATAGGAAATTTTAATATTGAACGCATTATTCTCTCTTCAAAAAGAAAGATGGAAAGAGAGAAGCTATAAGTTCTTAGGTATAGGTAACCGGAACTGGTTGTTAATATTTGGTCTCAAAATGAGGGAAAACATGAAATTAAATCCAAAAATTGGAAAAATACATTAATCGAACGAGAAAGGAAGTGCCAACATCTCGGAAAAGAAATCAATGATCAATATACATTATATCGCTAAAAAAATATATAGTAGATAGATGAACAGAATATTTTAAGATGCTGCTAAAAGGGGGAAATGAACATTTAGTAGTGACCTTATTCCCAATTAAATGTTTATGTTTAAATATATATATATATATATATATATAGAGAGAGAGAGAGAGAGAGAGAGAGAGGGAGAGAGAGCTTATAGATATATAAAGCTACAAACCCTTTCAATTTATAGTATTTACAGTCTTAGGACATGAAGTAATAGTAAATAATAAGGCCGCATACGATAATATTAATCGTGATGAGTTCTACCTAGCGACGGTGGTATTTCATATCTCTCTGAAGCTCATACGTATGAACCATGCGTGTCAATACGTATGGTGATATTGACCATGAATGAAATGTTGTATTCAGTGCGCGATCTATCTGAGGAATTCCGAGCGACGAAGGGCCTAAGGCAGGGTGACGCCCGCGCATGCCTCTTATTCAATATTGCCCTAGCGAAGACTGTGAGAGAATCGGGTATATAGGTTGAGCAGGCAATATTCAGTACGCAACTACTGGCTTATGTGGAAGATGTCGACATCATTGGGCGCTCTCAACAGCCTGTCAGGAAAACTTTTTTAGCACTTGTAGGTCCGGTAAGGAAACTTGGGCTCGAGGTGAACCAGGAGAAAACCAAATACATGGGGACCGAAGAGACTCATGGACTCAATGAGATGGTGATATTCGGGGAATACCGATTTGAGCAAGTCATCGAATTTATTTATCTATGACAACACAGGACAACAGCACAGAAACAGAAATTAGAAGGAAGATAATTTCTACTAATAAGCGCTACTTCAGTCAGAGAAAACAGCTTGGCGGCAATATCATCTCCCGCCAAAGTAAATTATATCTTTACAAAACCATCACGAGGGTAATAGAAATCTAAACATGAAATAGGTTTACCTAATAGTCTTTTAGCTGAATTAAAGGCAATGTAGGCTTGTAGGGCTGTTACTGCAAGTCCGTACCAAATGGACCAAAGCTGGTTCACATGTGCTCGAAAGCAAGGCCTCTCCTCCATCGCCTACGGTTGCAGCATGCCCTGCCCTGAAACATAGACATAAAAATATTAATATAAATGGCTCATCATATGTCCGCCTAATATTACCTAATATTTACACACACGCACATCAAAAGAGAGCGTAGCGTCCTCATGTTTCACATCTCGACCTTTCAGCAGATAACATGGAATGTTGGAATGAGGGAGTTCCTCTGACCTATGAGGGTGTCATACATTTTTTTATTGTATTATAGTATCGTTCAATGCTTTATAGTATATTAAGGTTTGTTAAATGGAATCAAAACAAAGAAGGAATTTCATAATAAATTTAATGTTGAACAAAGATGGACATTGGGCATGGTTCAGCAAAAGTCCTGACCAGTTTTTCCGGCCAAAACATGGTTATAATTAATTACTAAAATTAGAGGACAAATGTACTATTGTAGTAGATAATTTATCATGATGCATCACTTCTGGTTTCGAAGAGGCTGCGAATAATCTGAGAACAACGTAATGGTCTGTATTGTCCTAAATATTTGTGTCCAACTATATTCTACCTAGCAACTAATGGCTTAGTGCACAACTTATTAAAAGGTATCAAGCCACTATGATTCGTGGATGATCCAATCATCATTTGCCGATCTAAAAACAATTTAATTGTACAACATAAATTGCTTTTTAGAAGGTAATTCTATAAGTAGTATTAACAACTGGTCCCTTCCCTTTCAATCGGTTTCTAATTCCCCAAAAAAAAAATTTAAATAACTTCTTTCATCCGAAAGAGGAATAATCCTAGCATATTCCTATTAAAAATAATCATACAACTGACATAGGAGTCATATTTATAAATTAAATCAACCGCTATTAAGAAAGGAAATATACTGCCCTAACATAGTGGTAATTTCTATAGCTCATACAGGCTCATCAAAACTCTATTGAGAATTGCTACAGGGGTACCCAGAAGTGGGTTTGATAGTGGAACTTGCCATCAAAATTTTTGAGGGCGGCATATTTTGGGGAGTTGTTGAATTTTTGAGGGGGACATATTTCGGCGGAGTTACGGATTTTTGGAAGGAAAAGTTTCATTCTAACGGACAATGGAAAAACAGCAGCAAGTGTAATTGTATATTATCTACGATTATTTTAAGTCGACGTTCGCTTGTTTTAAAGAAAAATGAGCAATAAAATATCTTTGGAGTGGGGAGGAGATAAGTACTTGCGCCATTGATCTAGGGGGGGCGGACATCCCTGCTTTGGTGTTATGCTTCAAACTAGATTATTTGTGTTTTATTTATATCCCTGCACGTTACAGGATCCTTGCTAGATTAATTAGGTCAAATCATAGCTGCATCCGGACCCGAAAGTCGCATTTAGAACCAGTTTCATTCTTAATGATGTAGAGATGGTTGACCGTTAATATAATATGAGAAGGAGTTAGTCGAGGGTGCGGTCAAATAAATAAAAAAAATTAAAATATATAAATTATTTTAATTTTTGCCGACGTTTCGACCCACTTTGCAGGTCGTCTTCAGGGCTACAAAAGATACAAACATGTTGAAAAAATAAAAATAAAATAAAAAATAAACATAAGTATATATAAAATACGAAGAAGTTGTCTGATACAGAAATAAAATATAAAGAAAATAAATACATGATAAGAAAATAGATAAAAGAAAATAAATACATGAATGTTAACGAATAAATGAATGTTAACGAATAAATAGTTGAAAATTGAATAACTATTGTTACAGTAAAGTTAAAATATGGATAAGATAACATAATAATAAGATATCAGTGGATAACAAGCAAGTGGAGGTTACCTTTAATTGTTTATTTACAATTAAAGGTAACCTAATTGTTTATTTACAATTAAAGGTAATCTCCACTTGCTTGTTATCCACTGATATCTTATTATTATGTTATCTTATCCATATTTTAACTTTACTGTAACAATAGTTATTCAATTTTCAATCTATTTATTCGTTAACATTCATTTATTCGTTAACATTCATGTATTTATTTTCTTTTATCTATTTTCTTATCATGTATTTATTTTCTTTATATTTTATTTCTGTATCAGACAACTTCTTCGTATTTTATATAATAATAATAATAATAATAATAATAAGGCTTAGCGAACCCGAAGGTTCGATGCCGACACCACCAATCGCTTGTTACACACCTCCCTCCACCGTTCGCCGTCCAAACCCAGTCCCTTCAGATCGGCTTTAATGCAATCTTCCCATCTTCGCTTCGGTCTACCCCTCGGACGCTTACCATTCGGCACAGCAAATATTAACCTTTTAGGAATTCTCTCGTTACTAAGCCCAACAACTTTGCAAGCCCATTTGATTCGCCGCGATGAAATTACCTCAATTATATTACCCGGATACATCTCACGCAATTCGGCGTTATGTAACCGTCTGAACTCTCCGGTTAACTCATCCTTTTTCGGTCCGAATATTCTACGCAATACTTTATTTTCAAAAACCTTAAGACGCTGCTCATCCCTTAATGTAAGCGGCCAAGTTTCGCATCCATAAAGAACTGTAGGTAAGATAATTGTTTTATAGATTCTAATTTTTAAGTTTCGGGATAAGAGGCGCGAACTAAGTAGTTTTGTCACAGAAAAATAACAAGCATTCCCCGCCTTCAGTCTAACCTTAATCTCTTCTTCAATTTCGTTTTTTCTAGTTATCGTAGAACCTAGATACCTAAATTTATCTACCTGTTCAAACATATTACCATCTATATCGATATCACCAGTAGTATCGCCATTTTTGCAGCTAAGCATATATTTTGTTTTATCCACGTTTATTTCGAGTCCTAGTTCTTTACCGGCTTTCATTAACGATGTCGTATTTAGTTTTATAGTTTCAATGTCTTCGCTTAACAGTACCAGATCATCAGCATAGCCCAGAACGGATGTTGTCCCGCCCAGATCCAACCCTTTCTCGGTTCGCATTACCTCCCTAATGGCATGTTCTAATGCCAAATTGAACAGGACAGGCGAAAGAGAATCCCCCTGTTTTAAGCCCGAACGAACCTCAAATTTTTCGGACAAATTATTACCGATTCTAACTTTATTGAGTGTCTCCGTCAAGCACATCCTGACTAGATTTACTAGTTTTTTTGGAATCCCCTGCTCGATTAGAATATTATACAGTTTCTGGCGGTCAATAGAATCGTAAGCCTTTTTAAAATCTATATACAGCTGGTGAACAATACCGTTATACTCCAATTTTTTCTCTAATATTTGCCGTAAAGAAAATATTTGATCAATAGTCGAACGATTCCGTCTAAATCCGCATTGGTAGTCTCCGATAATTTCCTCGGCGTATTCCGTGATTCGACTGGTTAAGATTAAAGTGAATATTTTATAACATACCGGAAGCAGTGAAATTCCTCGATAGTTATTACAATCCGTCCTCGGACCCTTTTTGTGAATCGGAATAAGAATAGATTCTTTCCATTCTTCAGGTAATTTCTCGTTCAACCAGATCTTTTTAACCAACCGATGTATTTTAGAAACTCCAGCTTTCCCGCATGCCTTAATTAGTTCAGTAGGAATATTATCGATTCCCGCTGCTTTATATGATTTTAATTTTCCGATAGCTACTTCAACTTCCTCTTTACTTGGTCCTTTCGTATTTTATATATACTTATGTTTATTTTTTATTTTATTTTTATTTTTTCAACATGTTTGTATCTTTTGTAGCCCTGAAGACGACCTGCAAAGTGGGTCGAAACGTCGGCAAAAATTAAAATAATTTATATATTTTAATTTTTTTTTATTTATTTGACCGCACCCTCGACTAACTCCTTCTCAGTTTCATTCTTATTGCAAGTTCTGAAACAGGACTATCTGGAATTTAGAAGAAAAAACTGTTAGTAAATAACATATCAAAATTACTTTCTCAACAAGAGAAACATTCAGTTACTACGTTAATTAAATGAATATCTTCATACGAATCAGATATTTTAAATCCTCATTGGGTCCATAAAACTCAAAAAACACTATTACACATTTCTCTCAAGCATCAAAAGCAATATCTCACACACTGAATACAAATTTTAATTCCTTTCGTTTCTTCCAACATATCTCTAAATCTTTCTTTTTTTTTTAAATGATAATCATTTATCCATATAATCATCATCGGTATAATCATGGATCCATGTTTTATTGTTGTATGGATATATTATGAATTTTAATGGGCCGCTGGTTCGTAGGCCGGTTGCCGCTTCATTAAAAGACGAATAGCTGGAAAGAGAAGAGAGTTGGCCTTGACATTGAATTGGATCGATGTTGGGACAAGAGCCTCTTCCTACCCAGCCTACTTCTCCCCTAACAATCCGGTACAGCTTCCCCATAAGGTCCTTTTTCAGAACAATTTTATACCAATGTATGTTAAATACAACAATAATACTATAACAAAAGATGTAATTGGTCGAAATAAATTTTATCACTACAATTTATATTAAAATAAAACTAAGTGCCAATTCCTATCACTCACTTTTTTATTTTTCTGTTGGTTTAAGAGGAGTTGCAAATGTTTAGCCTTCTCGACCAGAGTTCTACAGCTATGCTTATCTTGGACTATTCGTTTCCAGTTTCTACATGCAGCTCTGCAGCTTCTTAGATGATTCGATTTATTCATCTCATGTTTTGCCTCACACGTAATATCTTTCGAACTATTAGTGATTTATTATTGTGTAAAAGCTTCCTGAAGGATTGCTCCTTGCTAAATGCTTCGTCCACCTCAACTTCCTTCTCTTCATATCCTAAGATATTGATTGACCAATTTCTGCTACTTAATGTCCAGGTCTCGCACCCGTAAATCAGAACTGGCTTTATTATACCATTGTAAACTCTTAATTTGAGATGCCTGAAGATTTTTCGATGTTTCGCTACGTTTGAAGGAGAAGAAAGATTTCCGTTTGCTTATACCCTTGTCTATTTCTGACCATTGGTCATTTATTGAGGCTATAATGTAGCCGAGATATTTTAATCCTGGAGCCTT